ACACACACACACACACACACACACACTGACTCTGCACAGCTTCACAGTTCATAAAGTAAATAAACAATAACGAACAGGTTGATCCTCTGAGTTCTGCAGAGAAATGAAAACAGATCCTGGTTCTGCTGGGGGGGGGGGTTCTCAGAACTGTCCAGTCTGGGGGTCCGGTTCCTCAGTGTCTAAGAACCTTAGCTGCAGTTCTGCCTGTTGAGTTAATTATCTCAGTCTCAGTGAAACAGGAAATATTTTATAGCTGAAGGAATCTGAAACTAATGTTAGCTTCAGCTGAGCTTCATTTTAGCTGATAAACTGTTAGCAGGTTAGTTTAGCTGTTAGCAGGAAGCTGTTAGCAGGTTAGTTTAGTTGTTAGCAGGTAGCTGTTAGCATGTTAGTTTAGCTGTTAGCAGGTAGCTGTTAGCATGTTATTTTAGCTGTTAGCAGGTAGCTGTTAGCATGTTAGTTTAGCTGTTAGCAGGTTAGTTTAGTTGTTAACAGGTAGCTGTTAGCAGGTTAGTTTAGTTGTTAGCAGGTAGGTGTTAGCAGCTTAGTTTAGTTGTTAGCAGGTAGCTGTTAGCCTGTTAGTTTAGCTGTTAGCAGCTTAGTTTAGTTGTTAACAGGTAGCTGTTAGCAGGTTAGTTTAGTTATTAACAGGTAGCTGTTAGCAGGTTAGTTTAGTTGTTAGCAGGTAGCTGTTAGCCTGTTAGTTTAGCTGTTAGCTGGTTAGTTTAATTGATAACAGGTAGCTGTTAGCAGGTAAGTTTAGTTGTTAGCTGTTAGCAGGTAGCTGTTAGCAGGTTAGTTTAGTTGTTAGCAGGTAGCTGTTAGCAGGTTAGTTTAGTTGTTAACAGGTAGCTGTTAGCAGGTTAGTTTAGTTGTTAGCAGGTAGCTGTTAGCAGGTTAGTTTAGTTGTTAGCAGGTTATTTTAGCTGTTAGCAGGTAGCTGTTAGCAGGTTAGTTTAGTTGTTAGCAGGTAGCTGTTAGCAGGTTAGTTTAGTTGTTAACAGGTAGCTGTTAGCAGGTTAGTTTAGTTGTTAGCAGGTAGCTATTAGCAGGTTAGTTTAGTTGTTAGC